GTAGTGGTAGCAGGAATAGGAGGGGTATTAAAGCACTACAATCAATGAAGTATGAGAATTTTCCTTGACTCTGTTTCAAGTTCTGTGTGCGCTGCATATTTAATTTATGTGATAAATGCTTAGTTTGATAGACTCTTGGCAGAGAACTGAGCTGTTATATAACCAGGGGCTGGAAACAGGCTCAGATATCCTCCTTCAGTTCAACCTTATCAATTAAAAACACTTCACCGTTACCTGATTTAACCACTTACTTTGAACTTCTGTAGATTTACAGGATAAATGTATGTAGAATTGAAAGATTCTGCATGTGTGAACATTATAAAAAATATTTGGAGACATTTGTTAAAAGTATTCACAGGGCTTCAGTTTTTTTTTTTTTTTTTTTTTTTTCTAATTTTATGTGACGGCCTCATTCTAAATTGTATTCAATTCATCTCATTCCTCAAACAAAACTTCACAAATACCTCTTCGTTGCAGAACTTCTGAAGCTCCATGACGTTGGATGGGAGACGTCTGTCTGGCCATCTTCAGATCTCTCCAGATATGACTAATTAAATTCAAGCTTGGATTGTTTCTTGGCCACTTCAGGACATTCACAGAGTTGTTCTGCAAAAATTTAGCAAAATTCTCAAAAAGTTATTTTCACATCGTCATAAAAGGGTATTTTTGTTTAGAATTTGGAAGAGAAAGAACATTTGGAAAACGCACTTGAATACTATATTCACAGTATTCAATACATGACTGAATACATTATGGATGATGTATTTAGTATCTCCAATTTAAGAACAATGCTTTCCTAACCTATATTGTAGAGTTTTCTGTTCAGTCGGTGTTCTTGTGATTGTGCTAGCTCTTCGTCCTTGTTGTGTTTAAAAACAAGTCATCACACTGCAGCCCCGGTGGCGTCAGACAGTAGTCCCCTTGGAAACGACATGACTCGTCTTACCCGGTCGTAATGTTCTCAACCGATAGCTGAAAATGACACGGCCTTTCAGTGCACGAACATGTTTTTAGTGACAACTGACGTATTGGTTGCACCGGCTGATAGGGGTTAAAAACCTCCACACACAGACCCTTTGAACCATTTTATGAGGGTGGATTTGGCTTTGGTTGCCAGCTGATGTCTACTGCTGCGAAACACTGAAAAAAAAAAAAGAGCTACATCATGTCACTGAGTTCACTCTCCACAATCTCCCCTTTAAAGCTGCAAGACAACACTTCTTTTGTGCTTAAATCTTTAGTTTTTAGATTTACTTTTGTGTTCAGCCTGCAATAGTGTTGACAGTGATACATATTTTCTGTCAGTTGATGCATTGACTCACTTTGTGGTATGCATTTATTGCAAAAGCTTTTGTCCGCATTGTTTTGGGACTTTCACACCACCAGTCTGATATTCATCTCTTGCAGAGAACATGTGGCTTAAAACATTTGAAAAAAATGAAGAGTCACACTGGTTTTGGTTCTATTGTTGTTTGAAGAACTGCAGACGGTGGGTTGCTCGTGTCCTAGAACCAGAAAGACGCAGGCTTTCAGCTGCACCGTTGGATGAGTTAGAAATCTTTATTTCAATGTGGATCTGGAGTTTTTCCACATTTTTAAATCTTATATATTAGACTATTTTGAGTTGGAATGTGATCAAGAATGAAAACACTGGGATGTCATGCACTGACAAGGAAAAGGATGTTACTGTGCTATATTCCTATTACTGAAATCCTTCTCCTTTTGAGGCCAGTCAGAGCACAACCATAGCATGGAGAAGGGATTATATTTTAATGAATGCTCAATGCACATTTGTTGAAACCACAAGTTAAGATTTGCTAGTTTTTATATGTAGAAGGCATGGAGATGACTGGAGCATTGCAACAAAAGTTAGAAATGTAGCTGAACTGCATCACAATTATTTGAAAAATACACAACTAATAAAGATTTGCACTATTGTAGTGTAACTTCCACATTATTGGCAGAAAAGAATCTATGCTATGTCAATACAGCTTGAAATAACGCGGATAACCTGGCTAATATGAGGTAGAAGACGGTACCTTATTGGTTGTGAAACTGTTGGTAAATTTTATTCTTTCTTAGTTAATTTGAATTATTCACAATAAATTGAAGCTGTGGGTTTAACTTCAGATTTAACCTTGAATGTCCTTGCTGCTTTACCACTTGCTTTGTCATATTGCTGTTGCTCCTCCCCGTCTGTAGCTCATCCGACTCGCCCATCGTTTTCATGCCCTTTTACTCATCCTCTTCATCGTCCCTCTGCCCAGGCCCTCCCCCTTACAGACAAGCGTTCATAAACAAAGCAGCCTCCTAATGTAAACAAAAAAGATATTCAGAGCAGAAGACAAGATATGGAGGGAGTATGTAGAGGAGAGCAAATCCCTATGAAAGCCCTTCAGACTGAGTACTTTTGTACCTGCTGAGAAACCATTCTTTTTTTTAATAACCTGTGTCTCTGCTTGTGGCAACTTATGTATAAATCAGATTAAGAAATCATGGTGTTGAATGTGAAGTACTTCTTTTGCTTGAATTTATGAATTAATTAAGCCTATTAAAGCCCAGACACTCTCATGCACAGCACACTTAGAGCTAATGTAGTTAATGGATGGATAAAAGCAGATCACACACACACACGCACACGCACACATACACATATAACATACATTTTCTGTATCATTTGTCATGCCATGTGGAGGTCATAAAACATGGTTTTCTCATTCTGATTCCCCTTCCCTAGCAGTCCATGTGCACAGATCAGGAGCTGTGGGTCTACTTTTAATGCACCCAATTACTTAGGACCCTATTCCTCTGGCTGCTGCATTACGTCAGGCTTGGCAAGCTATATTTTTAGCTGTGAGACGCTATTGGCCTTCTCTTCTTCTGTGTGTGGATTGAGTTACCCTGTTATTGCTGAAGGGGACCAATAGAAGCCTGCCCAAGCTGTCTTTGTCCAATCACAACTCATCGAACCAGTGCATGATGACTGTCGTAAGGATAGGGCAGAAGGCCGTGTTCACTGAGGGTTTAGTTGTGGGCTGCTATAAGGAAAAGAAGAAGCAGAGGCTATAGGGAGTGTGTTAAGAGTGTCTAAGACTAGCCAAGTTGATGTATTCAAGAATGCAGGAATATAAGAGCACTTCTATAGGATGTGTGTGGTGCAAACCTTGGTGCCAAATGTTATGGTTGGCTGCTCCCAGACACCAGAAATTACAAGGTTGTCTGAGGGGAAAAACTGAGCAGAGTTATGAAAATACATTTAGGATTATTTTCAGGTTTTCTCTCCATAGTCCCTCTCATTAGTTCTGCCTTTAATAGCTGCACCAAACTTGAGGGCAAAGTTATGCTGATGGTAGCAATGAAGCTGTGTTCTGCACAGCTGAGGCATCAGAATGAAGCGGTGACAGCTAGACCCCATGCTGTTGGAGCAACTTGCACAAGGACGCAGAAAGCTTGGAATGTTTTCACTCGGCCTCCAAGTGTTTGCCTGTAGAAGTAAACGGCATACAAGCCAGCAGCTTTACAAACATCCAATTGTTTGTAAAGCTTTCCAAGATGGTCTTCAAAGCTTTGAGATGCTGACAGAGTCGCCCCCAGTTCTCATACACCCCACCCTCCATTTTAATCATTATTTTAAATCCTTCCTCTGCTCAGTTTGCTTTTCCCTCATCACAGCAGTCTTGTTTCCTCGGGTCTAAACAGACATTCTGGTGTTTTCACTCGGACACCCACTAATCCCATTCATTCAACTCTCAGACAAAATCAGCGGGCGTGCCAGTAATGCATGTATTTGCCCCCATGTAAAGTAAAGGTCAGGGAAAACAACAGCAGGACTCAGAAATAACACGGCCAAGTTGGGTCTCGGATGTCATGGCAACAAGTTGTTTACCTGACAGGTGCATGGGGATTGGGTACAAACAACATCCGACATCATGTTTATTTTTCTGTGTATGTAAACTGTTGTTCTCGTAGAAGTGAAGATGTTCTTGCTTATGTCCCATCTGCGGATTATACGTGAATGGGACATACTTCATTGTTCTATTTATTTTCTGATTATGTAGAAATATATTTTTCGGGAGACCTGTTAAATATGTGTAAAAAGTGTTAAACTCCGACTGAGAGTCCAACATTCAATTTGAGAACATTGAGTCACTGGTGTAAATAAATAATATTTTCCGTAAAATCATGAGTCACCATTGGTTTTCTGTAAATGCTGTACAAGTTTTCTCTGGGCGTTTCAAATCTTCTGGTATTTCAAAGTTCATATTGGTGCATAAGGTTCCTTTGGAAGAGAAAGAGGCCCGCAGCACCACAGATCCTCTACCACACTGAACAGCTGGCATGAGATCCTCTTCCACATATTCATCTGAAAACCTGATCTCAGTACCATCTTTTGCATATATCTTGAGGAAATGCAAGACATTTAATAATAAATGATGTATAGTTTTTTGCTTACATTTTCTTTTGAAGGGAATTTGAAAGTCCTACAGAAGCTCAGCTTATGGCTGCACTGCTTGAATACAAACCATGCGATGTTGAAAACAGATGCTGCCCGTTCCCTTAACATCCCTGCGGCTTTCCCCTCCACCTTGAAGTCAGACACGTAGACCATGAGACCACAGGCCTGTCGCTATTGTGCTGAGCTCCTCCTGAGCAAAAGCCTAGAATCTTTGTGGGGTTTTGGGTGCCTTGTGTTTGTTTTAAAAGGGATCACAGTGTGACTTGGGAATAAAGGAGGTATGAATCCGATATTCCCACAGTGTCACTCAAACAGCCAAGTCTTTCACACGCTCCTCTCACCCTTTACACTCTGACTTTGCTGCGCCATTTAAAAGCTTTTTCAGTAACTCTTTTACAGTGTCCTTCTCAATTATGACCTGTTTCCTGAAAGGAGCATATTTGATTATATTAAGTAGTAAACAATATGGATTTATTTGTTGCTCAACTCTTTTTACTGTAAGCGTTCTAAGCCTTTTCCTCTCTTTGTTTCCTCCATATTTTAGATGTGAAGAAGGACTGGTCAGACCATGCCCTGTGGTGGGAAAAGAAGAAGACATGGCTGCTGAAAACCCACTGGACTTTGGACAAGTACGGCATCCAGGCCGACGCCAGGCTGCTGTTCACGCCGCAGCACAAACTGCTGCGCCTCCAGCTGCCCAACATGAAGCACATGAAGGTCAAGGTGAACTTCTCAGACCGGGTCTTCAAGGCTGTGTCGGACATCTGCAAGACTTTCAGTGAGTGAAACAGTGTGCTCGTTTTTATGACGTCGGATTGTTTAGAGTGTTTTAGGATATGCTGAAGGCACACACCCTGCTGAACTGAAAACTTCCTCTGGTGATAGTATTTTTGGAAATATTCTATGTTGAGCTTTGATAATCACACCCTTCCTGTTGCTCTGTTTTTACGTAGTAATTTCTTGTGTTTATCAAACAGTCTCTCCTCTTTGCACATCCCTATGTATAAACTTATGTCCTTGAACTTAGGTTTGTAGCTACCTCAGATTAATGTTTAGTATACAAAGATTATCAATCTGTGTTAGGCTTACAGAAAACACTAGAAAAAGACATGACTGCTCATGTTTATGCTCCCTCTGAGGATTTGTCATACCCCTGGCTCCACTATGTTCTCTGAGAGACGGTTCAGAGGTCATATTCTGGATCCCATCGAGCCCTTACCTAAAAAAAAAACTCAATGTTTTCCAGAAGGCCTCTTTGCACCAATCTCATCTATGTTTTGCTGGCTTGTAGAACATGTATTGCTGTGTAAACATATTCATAAATATTTTGACACTTTTTCACTTGACAAGCCAGATTTTGGCTGTTTATAATTTGAATCCAATAGTACATTATATTGGATCGCCTGAGAACATTGTCTCTCTCTACTACTTCAAAACATAGCTGTCACTCACACTTGCAGATTAAACAAGGAGAGCATTAATCAGACTGCTAAGACTTGGTTACTTTGGAGTAGCTGCAGAGATGCATAGCTAAGGTGGAAGTATCTGTTGACAGGATAACTGTTGTGCCCTAAAATCCGTAGACATTTGCTGTTCAAAACACACATCTGTCCCAGTAATGTTTTGAGCCAGATATCAGAGACGCAAGCAGCAGCTTTTCTCCTGTTTGAATGTTCTTGTTTTTGATATAAACTACATAGTTGTTTTTTTATTGGGTTTAAATCGAACAACAGCCGTTTTTGAAGCCTGCTGATGTGAACAGAATAAAAGCTTTTCTGTGAGTCAGGCATTAAGAAATGTTTTAGCTCCACAGAGATTGAAGGCAGATAACGTTTGGCTTTTAGTATGTATCAGGATATTGTTTGCTGACTGTAAATGCTCCCTTTAACATCACTTTTCTTTATTGGTCATTAGTAAGAGACAATTTTGCACTGTAGTTTTATGACAGCTGACTTGGCTTAATTTACAGCAGCATTTAAGTCTGGGTACGTTGTTTTTTTGAGGGAACTTTTAGCTTAACAGTTTCCTGAACATTTCTGCTGAGCTGTGAAGGATGTAGTCAGAAGGAACAGCAGAAAGGAGGCATGAAGACATGGCCATATGTGTTTTCTGATGACAACAGGTTATCAGTTGTTGCACTTCTATCACTGATATGTTTCTTTGATTTGCTGTTTTATGTGGCCAGCTGGTTGCAGAGAAGCTCAGCCCTCTACTGTTGTTTTTGACTGTTAGTCAATTCTTTCATCATACCAAAAAGGTTGGTTTCCAAGATTTTTGTCTTTTTTAAATATTATCTTATAATGCACAGGAGCAACAAGCAGAAAATTAACGACACACTTCAAGTTAAGTGGAAAGCAAAATACTGCCTATGTGACTGTTGTTTTTCCTCTATGTGTCAGCTCATCTGGGCTGACACATAGAGGAAAAAATGTAGCTAAAGGTTGATGTACTGTAATACACTGCAATGAAAATAACTTTGCACCACCCCTATTTTTGACCACTATTGCTATTTGGCTGCTCTCACATCCTGTTCTGTGCTGCTAAGTTGATAGTGAAGGGATGACTTTAGGGAATTTTCTACTTATAAGATGATGTGTGCTTTTTTTTCTTTTTTAATGAGAATTCTCATGAACCCTGGTTAAAGTGCCGAGATGCACTGTACAGAGTTTTGGAGCCCAATTCCAGTTTTACCCCAGTGAACCCAATTATATTAAATGTCTTTCTCTTTAAGAATTTTACATTTAAGAAAAAAATAAAGAACCCTACTTAAATTATTGTGTTGTTGCATCAACCCTGTCAGGGTTTTACTGATTTTAAAGCTGGAAAAACATTATTGTAGAGATAACCTGAGGCACTGGTATTACCAGAACAGAAGTCTCTATGTGACAATTAGACATTTAAAAAAATGTTTAAGTGAATCTAGTGGTTCCTTTATCTGTAGTAGAAAAATTTCTTCAGCTTGTTGATCAAGTAAATGCATCCTAGTCAGATACATGCTTCTTCAATTTATCATTTGATAAATTCTCTGAGAGCCCATCATAATGGTCTGATAAAAACATTTTCAGTTTATGTTGGTGTACGTCATGTTTGCCTTTCTCCACCATGAGGATTTATTTACTTTCCAACATCTCACCAACATTTTGCTATGGGTTTTGTGCTGTTAAAAACTCCCCTCCTTTCTGCTGATCACCGCTGCAGGGTAACAAGAGTCAGGTTTCTCCACTTAATGATGACATTTAGTCACTCATTACAGTAAGCAGAGACACAACAGCAACATTTCATTTGTACTAACCCATTTTACAGTGCATAGATCAGTTCCTTTAAGTCAGAGGCCATAGTTCCCAACCAGAAAAAGATGTTCTTTATCTGGGTGGAGGATGTTTTTGCCTTAAGCAGTCATTTGTAAGTATCCTGGTGTTCACAAGTGATTGTAGGATGGAGCTTGAGTTTGATTGAAAGAGCTGAAAGGAAAGGTTTTGCTCTTAGTTAATCATTCTGTCTATGTAATTATCCTCACTTTTGGCCAGGAAATATTTATCATGACCAAAAAGATTTAGAATGACTGAAATGAGCTTCCTCCTGCAGATTAGACACTGTTTGGTGAAGTTGAATGGAGACAGCTGAGTCAGTATGAGTATCTGATCAGGATACCTTCTGGATGCCTTCTTGTGGAGGTTATCCAATGGGGGCAGACTCATAACCAGCTGTGAGGAGTGTACATACAGTGTTTCTCTTCTGGGAACCCCTGGAATGCGTTTCCCTCCTGGACCAATAACCTCTGACCTGGTGTTTGGGTAAAGGACAGACAGCGAACAGATGGAGGAATTAATAAATCTCAGTGGAGCCAGATGAGTGTGGAAACAAAGGCTTAAGGCAGCACTTTTGTATCTGGAATATGGTCTTTTTCAGTAAAGTTTCTGCTAAGTTATTTTAATATGTTTGGGCTGTTGCTTTGTTGTTTAGCTCCAGCAGATTTATGGTCCATCAAGTTGTGGGCTACTTATCTTGGCCTAAATGTACTAGCCAGTGTTGTTTATGATATAAAACAACTGTGGTTTGACTTAACTCTGACTCCTAAATCAAAAATGTCTTCTTATTTACTACACTTTAGGCCTTATCTGATAAATAAAGCAAGCTGTTTTTTGACGAATGGGCTCATGTCATATAGTAAATTCTTAAATTTTGTCTCCATGGATGTCCATGTAGGGTTTGCACCTTTTTATACTGTAAATTCTGGTGTTGTAAAATTAGACTGTGACGAAGTTTGTGGGGTTTTATTGTGGTGGGTATTACTCACTGAACTGAATCATTTGTTCCAAGGAGCAGATCTTTCACATCCAGCTGGCTCCCTGTCAGCCCAGCTCCTCTGACCTCAGGCCTGGTTACTGTCAGAAATCTGTACGATAGAAGATAGGCGACTTGTTGTTTCTGTGGCATTTCTGCTCACAAAAAGGTGACAAACATTTATTGAAAACATCTCATTAGTCACATCTCCTCCAGACAAGATCAGCCCAACATATGTGGCAAGTGTAGAAGAATTGATTTCCCCAAGATTACATCTTAAACAACACAATGGCATACAGTTAGACCATTGACTACGTCAGTAAAAATCAATTAGATTTCAACTGGAATAGTCTTCCAGGATCCTGCAGCTATATCAGTTCTTGATTTCTATGCCGTTTCACAAAAGTAAATTATATTGTGACTGTTACTCTATGATGCTGTTCCCTGGTAACTCAAAAGCAATGCAGACATCTAGTCGGAGATGTTTTAGCATCTATGTTCACATATTTAAAGAATCTTAGTTGAATATTTTGCATAGTCTTTATAGAAAATTCTATCATTAAAATAATAACAAGAACACACTACAGTGGACCACAATGCATTGTGGAGTTTGGGGACCACAACCACCTGCAAATGTCTAAAGTCTGTGAATATTTGAGACCTCTCTAAAGAAATGAATCTGTGATTACTGAACTGTGATTTGGTGGAGATGGAATGCAATGGGCAAGCAAAAAGATTTATATAATCATTTTTTAACATAAATTACCTCCAGAGTCGTTTGCATGTTGGAACTGACTGCAAACTTCACACTGTTTGCCTGGAAATAAGTCGGTGGGTGTTTCTCTGTTAGAGCAGATGAGAAACTGTTAAAGTTGAGGTATGTCAGAGAAGGGAGATTAATTCCTGAGATTTATGAGGACTCACTGAAGTGCTGCATCTCTTTAAAATAAGATGCTTAGAAGTTCATAATGTAAGAGACAACATGATGTAATACCATTTTCAGTAGAGAACTCTGGTAAATCCTGAGATCTGTTCTGAAGTATGAAAGGGCAGAGCTACTGCTAGGAGGGTGGGGGGGGGAATAAGAGTCAAATTTATTATACTTCATGTTGATGTGAGGGGGCACAGAATGTGTTGGAACAACATTTCCAAATCAAGTCACTTCCATAACAGGAAGAGATGGAAAGCTTTCAAGAATAAACCCAAGCTGCTCTCGCTCTCCTTCATAGCAGCCAGAATAAACTGACATGCCTCCCTAGAAAATACCATTTCCTTTTTAACCAGATTCTTACAGCTTTTACGTCTTTCTTGTTGTTGTCATTTAAACACCCAACTGAAACTGAAAGACCAGCTATTCCTTCAGTAACACCTTTCACACTGAAGGGGGGTAGAAATGCTATGTTCAGTAAATCGTTAAAACAATTTGTTGTAACAGGCACACACGTCACGTAATCTTAACAAAGATTGACCAAGTTTTCCAACAGATTTATATAAAAAAATTAACATTAAGATCTGAGCTGAACAACACAGACCATGATACAACAAATTAAAGACATATCTTCAGTTTAATCAGATACACAATCTTACAAAATGTCTCTTTTGTGTGAATCAGAACATTTCCATTTTGTGTGTACGTGCTAAATGCTTAAAATGACAGTGTAGTAAAATGCCACATGCTTCTGCTATGCCTCAGCTAGATGCATGTCCTGTCCAAGTATTCACAGTCTGAAACACGTCACACAGTGCATGTGGTTGTGTGTCAACCAGCCCCTTCACATAGTTCAGTCAGGTTAAAGCTCAGCAGCACGCTTGGAGCTCACATGGCTGTATAAGGGCAGAGGGACTGCTCCAGTGCTGCAACGGTACGAGAATGAGGGAGGAGGGAGACGGGGAGAGAGGACAAACTCCCATCTGGTAGTTCTTAAAACTCCTGGAATGCCTTTGCTTTAGTTACACAAGCCAAACAAGCTTCTCACCAAGTCAAGATGTTCCCCTCGAGCCTCCTGGCCGTGCTCTCCTCAACACCTCCAGCGACCTTCTCAATCAGTCTGCCACAGTTGTTAAACCCTTCATCTGTGGAGGGGTTTTTTTTATGTCTGTGGAAATGAGATGATGATCAGCTGTGCATGAAGAAGAATTAAAAATAATTAGAAATGTCTTTCTAATACCGACATACTCTTTGATTTATAAGGAATCTGAGAGGAAAGCCAAATCCAGCTGAGTCCAGATGTGCTCCCTCTGCGTTTGGCCCATCTATTTTAATGCTGACACTTTCTGGCTTCTTCACCTCCTTCGTCAGAGTCGTCCTATCAAAGCTACTGCTGAATGTTGGCTCTCTGCTGCAAGGGACGGAGAGAAAATACGAGAACCCCGGGCCGCTGCTTTAGTCTGTCTGCTCTGCATGGGGTTAGCTTCTTGCACTATTTTTTTTTTTCAAATGAATAGGAAGCCTCTTGGGTAAAATATGTCATTCCTTAAAATTTACCATTAGCACCAACTGAATCCATCTTTGATGTGTTTCTGCTAAGGAGGAGTCAGGCTGTGGCTCCCATGGCTCAATTGGTGATTACAGTAAAGCGAGATTTTTGGGGGCCATGAGAAAAAGGATTTTCAATTTTCCACCCCATGTGTGTACAGCTGTTTGCAGTTCTACCCATCTACCCCCTCCTGCTCCTTCTCCTTTCTGTCTTTCACACTTTATGTTGACTCGGCATCCCTCTTTTTTGGTCTTGTGTGGCTTCATGGTATTGTTTCTGGTCCCCAGGAGAAGCCAGGTGGTTTATTTAAGGCCTATAGTTGAGAAAGCACTAATTACTGTTTGTTCGTGTTGACAGGGGCCATTTACTGGCATCAAGGTATACAGAGGTTTCAGAGGGTCCCATCAAAATTCCTAAACACTTGTTGTGAGCTTAAGCATCTTATTATTAACATAAATTAACATAAACGCTAGGTGTGAAGATTTCCTCCAGCTAGCCAAATATATTATTAGCATGCAGAGTGTCAATACATGTCACTAATCACAAACAAGAGCCTTTTTCTCTTAAAGATTTAAACGTAGTTGGTGAACAATCTTGTCTGCAGACTGCATTCCAAAATATTAGGCAACAAGATCTCAGCCGCCTCTGAATGTTCATGGCGTCTAGACCATGTAAAAGCATCAGGTTAGCCGATATGCTGCACCCATATGCTACTCTGCACCAGTATGTTCATAATGGTGGAGCAGTTAAAACTATTTAGAGCAATAATTAGAGCAGTATTGCATAGGGACTTTTTTGTCATTTGAAATTAATTCACAAATGAAATGGAGGCAATATTTCAAATATCAATGGTGAGAAATGGAAAACTAAAAGCAGTGTCTTCGAGTACTTATTATGCAAGGTTATAAAAGAATGGATTCCTGTTTCGAGATTTCCCTTGGACAACCAGCAGTTTAAAAAAAAAAGAAAAACAACTTTTGACTTTGCAGAAGTAGTTTGACTAAACAGCAGATAACATTGTATACCTTTACCGTGTACCTTTATAATAACACTATCAGAAAATGGTAGAGTGTACTTTGCAATAAGCATGTTTAATTGAAAATACATCCAACTTTTCTTTTTTGTTTTTTTGCTCCATTGATTAAAACTAAGTTGACACCAAGTATTCCTTTGTATGGTTTATCTTTGCTGCAGTACCTTATATTTATTCCATTCCTGTTTTGGAAACAGACCTGGTATTTTCACCCAGCATTATCTGATGAAAGTAATGTGTCAAATCGCACAACAGCCTGTGACAAGTTGACGTTACCTTGCAGTATCAAAATCTGGCTCCTTTTGTAGAACTTTATTTTTATGCCACATCGAAAAACCTTTGCTTTCCATTTCTGTATCTTCCACCTCAGATATCCGCCACCCAGAAGAGTTGTCTCTACTGCGCAAACCTCGTGACCCCAAGAAGAAAAAGAAAAAGTTGGAGGAGGCAGAAGAGGACAGTCTGGAGCTGGAGGGTCCTCTGTTGACTCCGGGATCTGGTGAGGCACAGGCAGCTTTTATATTTCTGTCTACATTAAAATAATCTTTGTTATGTCACACAGACACTGTCCTGAAGCAGCAGGTTGGACAGCAGGTTCTGCTGGCTCACACGAAGCATCTTCCATTCTTTCTGTCTGTGCTTGACTGCACCTGTGGTTGAGAAACCACTAAGATAACTCCACACTGCTGTTTCTAGTGACCAAATGTGAATGTGCGAATTGGAGGCCTGCAAGGGATTGACAGCCACGGCTCCCAATTCTTCAGCAGGGAGGACTAAGAATGGTTGAGATTCCACACATAGCTGGTCACGCTGCCATTTTAAGCCCAAACCCGGGAAGAGGAGTGCAGTTATTATAACCCTCCTGCTCCTCCTTCTCTTTGTACTGAGTGATGGAGAGTTGCAACCATATGAGCAAGGAGGAGCACAACAAAACAGGCTGGGTCGCTGTCACTGATTTATGGGATGGAGTAAATGAGTCTACTTAACCGTTGCTTCATTTCCACTGCTGTTCTTTTCATTCCTTCTATATAAAAGCTTTTTTTAAATGCTTATGTCAAATTGGAATTAATCCTAGAAAATGCAAAAAGGAACCACCTCATAATAGCAAAGATGATCACACCCAGAGTCACATCATTACATAACATGGGTGTGTGACAGTCAAGATGTACTTATTTCCCAGTGGGTGCGTGTGGTCACACTACGAGGCGGAGCTGAGTTTCGACAAACACGTGCAAAATCTACTTGTTGTCATTGGTTTCCTCGTCTGCTCTGTGTGCTTCCTGCGGGGCCTCCCTTTCAAATCACAAGCTGCCGTCTAAGGCTTTATTTCGTGGTCAGACTGTAGGATGTTCTGTCCGCTGTGGGGAGGAGGTGGCCGCTTAGCCCAGGTCTCCTGATCAACATCACAAGGCTTTGCAGAGAGGCAGCGATGCAATCAGAATGCGCCCTTTTCCTCTCTCCACCCCTCTATCAGTGTGACTTGTCACATGCGGTGCTGCTGTTGATCAGTCAATAAACTGAAAAGGATTTAACAGCGATCTGAGAATGATTTATGCTTCTTCTTTTTGTTCAAGCAAAAAACATCTGAAAATAAGAAATTGCACCATTCATTTAATTTGTTTCTCATTCCATTTTACAACACATTAGCAAAATTAAATGTACATAGGCATTCCAGTCTTAGACGTAAACAGTAAAGACTGAAAAAATGTAAATATGAGGAAATAATACAATCGACAGACGATCTTAACATCATAAGAAAACAAATCACTGGTTATATAAAGTTAAAAGTTCAGACAATTTTCTCGTGCCTATGACACAAACTGAGACTTGTTCCCACAGTTTTCACCACATATTGTACCCGAAGTTGGCAAAACCTCTGATAACTCGGGTTGTATGCCAGACATCCACCAGATTTTGATTTCTCAAATTCTGATTTCTGGTTGAGAAATCAACCAGAATTTTCAGGTTGATCTGCAGTATAAGCACGCTCTAATATGTCTGCCGGAGGATGACAGGTCGAGCATTTTGATGTCTCAGCAGTTTTGTAAAGAGGAGAACTTGACCCTAAGTTGACCTCATTAGATAACATGAAGGTGCTTTCAAGCTGCAGTAGAGTAGAAGACAGCCAGGCTTGAGCATACATTTATTAAGACTGCTAGAGTAAGAGAGAGTGAGACTTCAGCAGATGACAGCAAGGCTGTGCATATTACAGCAAGGTTTCTCCTTATTTCGTCTTGTGTTATATTAACCTCTGTCTTTAATAAATACTGTTTATATATTTAAATCTTGGAATTGGAAATTTAGGCAGATTTTGGAAAACTTTATTCAAAGCAGATACTATAATTTTGCCATGAATCAGAAAATTGTTCCTAAACTGCACACACAGGATACATGGTCATTTTGACCACTGCCTTGTCTGCATGTGGAGTCACTGTTGCTGTGTTGAATGATTACACATATATGGATGGAACCATATTAGTTGTGCCCAAACCAACTCCTTCTAAAAATGGGACAAACTGACTCATTCACCCTGGCACTGTCTCCAGAAATGCCACGTAGTCTTACTTTAATATTCTACATCTTTTGTCTTTTCTCCTGCTTTTCCTGTTTTCCTTTGTCCTTGAACAGTTTGAAGCATCCTGAATCTATCCTACTAATTTTGTTTCTTACTACTCCTCTCCTTTTTCCTTCACTTTTTCCTGTCTTTCTTTTCCTACTTTCTTTCTCACACCAGCCTCTGAGATAATTTACATCGGACCAGTGAAAGGTAAGCTTTTCCTTCGTCTTCTGTCCTGTCTCTTCCGCACTGCTTCCTTATCCTTCTCGCCCTTCCGTTGGTGCATTAGACCTCGTCCGTAGGCTGAAGGCCGGCAGTAGAGTCACCTGACTTCTCTTCAAGAGAGAGTCACCTGACATTAGTAGTCTCATGATACAAACTTATGCGTCCTATTAGGTCAAAGCTCAGTTTTCTTTTTGAGTAATTTGCTTTGTAAAGGATGTGCAGGACAGTCAGCAGTTTAAAAATACATTATTATTCTGTCTTTATGGCTCAAATAACAACCCAAATAGAAATGTAATCCAGTTAAATGTATTGTTTTCTACTTTTTTTTTTTTGCTTGAGGTCCTCAATCAATCATCAATCACTTTATTTTGGTAAATTGTCCACATTAAACACACAGAACAACAAAAAGAAAAAAAGAAAAACATTAAACAAACTCATAATTTACCAAAAATGTAATAAGCTCAAGCCAAGCTTATTCTTGCCTACCCTATTCTTCCCTCGGTCCTAACTGCAGCATGCATCCAAGTGTGGGAAATTCAGGGAATTCCATTTTGTAAGAACTAAACAGTAAACAGGATGGAGGAAACTTATTTGTGTTTCTCAATAAACTGACAGCTTTTCCTTCTACATGCTGGCACTACATGGTTGACATTCCTTCTGAGACCCTTTGGGAGATGGGAGTACTCTCCCTGCCCTGGTGAACTCAGCATTAGGAGGAAGACCTTGGAGGATCCGTTGGATAACACCCTCCTTCACATAAAATGGATGGTCAAAGCCGGCACTCCTTTCTCATGACCTTAGCTTACAAACACAAACATACACTGTCACAAACTCCAACCAAACCCACTTCCTTGTTTCAGAAGGGATTTAGTGGTTTAATCAGCTACTTCTTGACCTACGGCTATAGGAGGAAGAGAGGGAATGAAGGGGGCGAGATCGCCAAAAATACTCTCAACAGGAAATGCAAACAACTCTACCCCAGGGACTTGTGTGTGTGGTGTCAGATTCCAACTCTGAAAACCTAAAGGAAAAAATTGTACATGGAAATACATGTTTGGAGCACTTGAATATAATATTTTGTTAAAATAATTTGTTCATATTGTTAATTTTGCCTGTTAAATCTCGCCTTGCCTGTGCATAGTTTGCTGCAGCAGTGTAATTCTGTTGGTATGTGGTTGTAATTCAGTAGGTCTGCTTACTTTATCATGATGCATTGAAAACACTGTTGGGTGGAAGTTATATAGTGATGTCAAATGCTAACTGGTCTTTCTAAGGATAACATTAGGGTTTCATGTAATTTATTCAAAGTGGGTTGTTATTGTGAAGTGGGAAAAAATGCTTTCATATTCAGGCACTGAATATGAAATATCACTCTGATGTTGCTAAACAAATTCCAGCGCTAGTGGAGAAATGCAAGCCACACCTTTCAGATTTTCATTTGTGAAAGTTTGAAAGCCATTTTTCACTTTCATTCTGCTTTGTAATAACACGACTTTTAGTTTATAATTCTACTGAAATGGTTGTAATGTGGGAAAAAAGATTATGTGAAAAGATAAAAAGCTTTGCAAAGCACCATTTATGTAGTGAAAATGTTTTTCTTTACGCTTTGTGTGCTTTTCTTTGTAGGTGGATAATGACGGATTAACTGGTGACTTTTGCTTATGTTTTTTTTTCTTTTGCAGGGAGTGTCTACTCTAGTCCAGGCTTGTACAGTAAGACCATGACCCCCACCTATGATTCCAGAGATGGCAGCCCCCTGTCGCCCACCTCAGCCTGGTTTGGGGACAGCCCCCTGTCAGAGGGCAATCCTGGCATCCTGGCTGTCAGCCAGTCGATAGCCTCGCCAGACATCCTGGTTAAACTCTACAAACCCCAGTCCCTGCTGGATAAAGCCAAGATCAATCAAGGGTGAGATAATGCTGACCTAGGAGCTTGGAAAAAAAGCCAGATCATCTTAAATGTTGAAATGTCGTTTTTACATAGTTTAGATGTGCGTGGGTTTTTTATTGTAATTTTAATGTTTGTTCAGGTGGCTGGACTCATCCAGGTCTCTCATGGAGCAGGATGTGAAGGAGAACGATGTGCTGCTGCTCAGGTTTAAGTACCACAGCTTCTTCGACCTCAACCCTAAGGTACGTCCCACCATCGGGGAAGCACAGTTAAAACAGTAGCTAGTTTTTTGTGCTATACAGTCATGTGATATCGTAGGGAAAATATAGTCATTAAAATGTGTGCCGTCTTCATGTTTCAAAAAACATTTGTGATGTTCTTTTGAGTTTGAAACTAATCAAATTCAGTGATCTAATGCTAGTCTGGTCGTTAAGGGAGTTCTAAGACTTTAATAGGTGTTGAAATGCCTTTTCCCTTCAGCATGTGTTTGTATTTATCTGCAGTATGATGCCATCAGAGTCAACCAGCTCTATGAACAGGCCAAGTGGGCCATCCTGCTGGAGGAAATTGAGTGCACAGAGGAGGAAATGATGATGTTTGCTGCCCTGCAGGTAAGAGCAGTGTGTTTGTGCGAAAGCCTGGACTTTGTTTTTCTTTCCTTGTTTAGTTAACAGATCTGAAATATGAAGGGCTTTGCAGTCATTTTTATCTTTGGATGTTGTAACTCACTACCTGGACTGTATCCCAGTCAAAATCTGGGCCATATGGCTGCCAGTTGGGCAGTGCACACAGTGCCTTGGTGTTCATGTTGCTTTACAACCTGATCACTGCTGTATTTCTTCATGGTACTGCTTGTTCACTAATGCTCTTTCGCAAACCTCTGGGGTCTTCACAGAACAGCTGGGTTTATACCGAGATTGATTTCCACACAAACACCGAGTTTACTAACTAGGTGACTTTTGAAAGCAACTGACTTGGATTTTACAGTGTAAGAAAATCTTAAAATCCATTTCCTTTTATTTAAAGCTCATAATTATGCACCACTTTGAATTGACAGGTCAAATAAATCATTTCTTTATTGTTTGCATTCAGAGAATAAGATACATTTTCAGTATTGTTTCTATGGGACTTCTGGGTAGGTTTTTATACCTCAGTTATTTTTAGTTTTGAATTACAGCAGGCTAGAATCAAGCCTATTATTCGTGCTGCTGGTCAATTCGTGGGGTAATCCCTGGACAGGCCACTAGTGAAAGGGGAGCAGTGGAAATGACTGGTGCATGATCAGATGTTAACCCCTTTTGCTTCCTCAAGTTGCCACATGGTGCCCCCAGCTATTTCTGACCATCATAAACTGGGTGCCAAGACCTGAGGACGCCACTCTGTCCTCAACCCGAGGGTAATTATAGTGCGTATTTGGCCGCACGACTCCATGCATTGGCCCAGACCACCCACTCCAACAAGATACCTTCCCGTAGACCTGCTAGGCATTCCTTTGAAAGCTTTTGCAGTCTGAGGTGTGAACGTGTATTTTATCAGACTGGTAATAAATCAAGACTTGAATGATTTCTTGTTGCTGTGCCATTAGTGTTGCTGATGGACATTTGGTGTTCCTATCGGTGGCGGCTCTGTCACTACCTGTCTATTAGCACGTAGCTCTACTGTGTTTCATCCACTTACTATGAGCATACGATTTCACAGCTGAGGGAGACAAGCAGACATCTAAAAAAGGAGCAGTGATCGTTTAGTTCCAGTCTGGTTCCGCTGGGCGTTTGCATGCCGTCATCTTGAGTTTACGCAGAAATTTGGCATGTGTGGTTAAAGGCATAACCTCGACCCACAAAAATGGGGAAATAAGCTTTGTTCTTTAGCATATTTTGAAAAGAAACGTCCGTTTAGAATCAAATGTATCGCATCAAACTCTTTCTGCCAGTCTTACTGCTTGTATGCAACATATTTCTGCCAAACACAGCTCTGTGGCTTTCACTTTCTGGGCAGCTGTTCTTTCATATATCGGTGGAGGAGGCTGGTGATGAGTTGACGTGGAAAAATGCCATTTGTCAACAAGCTGTTTTTAGTTTTGGTGACTCACTGGAGGATTTTCTGTAAGGAGGCTATCCTTCTGAACTACTATTTCCATTGTTACTGACACATGTTTCCTCATCTTGCACATATGTACCCCAGTGAGAAAGATTTTTATTTGCTATTAAACTTCAAAGACATGCTATGAATGTTTCCCTGACCGCATCGCTTATTATGCGGTGCATTAGCATCGTCGGTCATTTTGTCCTATCCTCTTATGATTTTTTTAACTTCCTAATTTTCTTCTTAAACAATCTAAGTTAAATGGGATATAGTTGCAATAAGCGTTACCGTACAAGTCTCCTATAACATTCATTTATAAAAGGGAACTTGGAGCATTTTGCAAGAATAGCAGCAAACCAAAGATGTCAGCTAACATGACTACCGGTTCATTCCTTGTACATCTTGTTCCATCTTTTTGTGCTGTCTACTTCAACTAATTGTTTCTCAGCTTTACTGGTAGAGTAACATATCAATACTCCTGATTGTTCTGTATGACTCATTAAAGTTATCTGAAGTGAAGCTTTTTTTTTTGTTTCCTCAGTACCACATCAACAAGCTGTCGGGCATGTCTTCAGACAACCACATGAATAACAGCGAGAAGGAGGTGGATGAGGTGGATGCAGCGTTGTCTGACCTGGAGATTACTTTGGAGGGAGGGAAAACCTCCAGCACACTGGTATGAGGAAAAACTACTGCATTTTTTTATTGGTGGTGTGCATAATCTGAGCTTAAAATGGGAAACAATTTTTTCCCCATTTCTGAGGTTTTGGTCTATGTTTTTGTTTCAGTTTTGGAGTTCATGAGCTTAATTTACACTTCACATAAAGTTAACAAGGACACAAAAAGGAGTAAGAAGAAAAATAATCAAGATACAACTTGAGTGTACTATAAACTCAAAATTTCAGTAAATATATCATTTAGACTGTGTATAGCTATTTTTATTGCATTTTCAACCCCACTTCCCAACGTTTACTTTAAGTGCATTTTTCGGGCCCAACATGTAAACTGATGGACATTTTTGAGTGATGTAACAACTCAAAAGTGAGCTTGGTTCACCACTGTGTCTCTCAGCCTTGATATCCTGTAGTTATGAAAGGTTATTTTCAGAATGACCTGCTTTAGTTCTTTTTTTCTAACAGTTTTTGTCACAAGCAGCCATTCATCAGTGTAATGGATTACAAGAAAGTTAGACCTCCCACTGAGCTCTGTTAAATCCCTGGGTATGAGGGCAGTGTGTTACTCCTCAGAGGAAAAATTGGCATCGGTTTCAGGAAGTTGCTTGTCACCGCTTTTGTCTTGAGCTGCCTTTTTGTTGCACACATAAAGTGGTCACTCTTTGGTTTTTCATTGTCATTGTGCTAATTTTCTTCGTTTGCAGTTTATACTTTGTTTTGTCTTCACAAATAACTTGATTTTGGCCACAGATAATTTTTTGTATTTTGCCCTTTTATAGCTCTTTAAAAGTGATGCATTTAAAGACATATCAATTCTAAACCAAAGGACATGCTAAAAGTTAGATGTGGTATATTTCTGGTGTAAAATTTCCTCACTTTAGAGTTGCTAATTCAACTGTTGACACACGAAGCATAAATGTTAATGGATTTTTTTTCCATTTCCTCTCAGGGTGACATCACATCTATTCCAGAACTGGCAGACTATGTTAAAGTCTTCAAGTAAGTGTATTTTCAGAGCAACACTTCCCTAAAAAAATCATTTGCTCTTTCTCTGACATACAAAATACAAGTAACTCATCATAAATTCAAAAACATTTCTGATTGAAAGATTAAGATAATTTTTATTAACTTTTTAAAGCAATATTTTCTCTTTCCAACATTGCACTAAATTGTAATGGTTCCAGGACCAAAAACCATTTAAATAGGGGGAGCTTTTAGGTTCTCTTTAGGGAGATTAGTTGATGGAAGCATATTTTAAATCCAATGCGTTTTTGGCTCAAAGACGTTGCTGGCAGAATGTTGCCTCCTGGGATGCTTGTCTCATAAAATATGCAATATAAAGTTGTTTGGAGTGGGGTTGTGATATTGAGGAGTATTTTCTCTGTAAAGGTTTTCCATAATGCTGGCTCCATTTCTTCTCACCTCGCTGACTTTACACTTCAGTAGCACCCTCTTTCTCCTCTTGATCTCCTATGATCTTTCTTCCCCCACTCTTCCTGTTAACTTCTTTTAAAGAATATTGATCTTTTTTCCAGCTGAACCCTGATATGTCTGTCTGCCGTGCATTTCTAGACCCAAGAAGCTGACGCTGAAGGGCTATAAACAATACTGGTGCACGTTCAAGGACATCACAATTTCCTGCTACAAGAGTAAAGAGGAAGCACTCGGGACACCTGCACACCAAATGAATCTCAGAGGTGCAGAAAATCCAAACATACCGAAAGTGTTGCATGATTCTTATCATGAAATGTGAAGGTTTATTTTTCTGCTTTAAACATGTTATGGTAGGTGCCGTGTTAAAAGAATGACGGAAACCTTTTGTCCTCATTTCCCGTCTGCTCAGGTTGTGAGGTAACGCCAGATGTGAATATTTCTGGTCAGAAATTCAACATCAAATTGCTAATCCCCGTGGCCGATGGGATGAACGAGATCTGGCTTCGGTGTGACACAGTAAGGCTGAATCGTTTCCCCAGATTTGTCCTCCCTCTGTTGCTCTCTTTAATGCGGCTGTTCTGTCTGCAGGAGAAACAGTATGCTCACTGGATGGCAGCATGTCGCCTGGCCTCCAAAGGGAAGACAATGGCTGACAGCTCATACAACCTGGAGGTCCAGAATATTCTCTCCTTCCTCAAGATGCAACACATGAACCCCGACCCTCAGTTCATTGAACCAATCACCACTGACATCAACCCAGAGTGTCTGGTGTCTCCACGGTATCTTAAAAAGTACAAGAACAAGCAGGTAAGTTGCCCAAGTTCTGATGGAAGATTAATATTTAATGTTTTTTTTTCCAAACAATTTAATACATTAGTATTAAACTGCTAATAGTTGAGTTGATATCAGTGGCTCTTATTCCACATTTTTCTGTTTCTTACTGCTTTTTCTCCTCAACTTCCTGTACATATCTTCCTCTGTCACATTACATCAGAAAACACAATCTGTACAACACCAAGCTGCTTTTGCTAAACTATTTCTATCCTCTGATGCAGCAAATTCGAATTTCTTATGGTAAAATATTAAATACACCAAAAAAGCTAAGCTAATTTTCAGCTTAATTGGCCCTAGCTAGTTGGAAACTCCAGCAAAACTTTTAATGCTGCTAGAGCATTGTAATAATGCTGACAAAAATCCTCTTTAATGTGGGTGCTGTAACTTGGAAAAAAGCCAAAGAGGGTCATTTTTATTGTTAGTGAGGAAACCAGAGGAATCACAAACAAAAAAGATCTTATTTTTTGTTCAATATCCAAATTTGGTGCATCTGAAGTTGTTTCACCAGTAGGAATGAAAGGGTTCAACATTTAATCCCTGCCAGCCTTTTAATTCTCTTTCAAATGTTGGGAAGATTCTACACTTTGCTCAGCAGATTTGCATGCAAACAAATAGGCTGCTGTGTGTACACTGCAGCAGCTGAGTACACGGCCGCCATGGCAGTGTTGGTTAGGGATGGATGAGGCAGGATCTTACCTCTGTACTTTAGCTTAGTCACTCAATCTGGAGCTGTTTAAGTTGGAAGTAAAAATGTGGCGTTTTGCCAGAGGGAAGGATGTCAGGGGGGAGCTGATACAGTAAACGATGACTCAAAGAGTCTGGACCGCCGCCTGGAGTATCATAGATATCCAGAAAGAAATGGAGACGGAGAACAAGGAGTAGACAATCATGAATGTTATAAAAGAGGAAGCATTGAGTCATCATCAGAGTTAGTGTTGGTTCCAGGGAAATCACACATGTGGTTAGAAATACATAAAACGAAGCTTTGTTTTAAAAGCCTTTGTTCAGAACTGACTGTAGCTGAGATTTAGTTAGGAATCGTAAAAGAATAAGTTACTTTAGTCTACTGTGGATAAATGTAATGTATTTTATGTTGCTGTTTTGCTACTTTGGAATGCAGTTTAGTTTCTGTCATGACTGAAAAATGGCAGACCACTGCATAATGATCCAAATCAATCAAAGAAACGGTGCACCAGACACAAAATAAATTTTTGGCATAATCATCCAAGTCCTCCCACCTGTATGCTTCTGAAAACATGTTGAATTTTCCATATGAATCCATGCTTCTTCATGAAAATATAAATTGTTTTTAAGGATTTAAAAAATCCTTAACAAGTGTGTCCTTAACTGTAATAGCTGTATGTCAAATCCATCACACCAGCCCAGTGTACTGAATGCTTTCCACGGACTCAACATGAAAGGGCAATGCGGTACAGTATGTACAGTGAGTGCCTTATGCTCACACACATATGCACGCGTGAACTTGGGTAGTGGGCGTTGGGGTATCAGGAAATGAGCCTTGCTTGGGAATGCTGCGCGGGAAAAGTGTCTGGGAAAAACCTGTAAACCCTCTAGCTGGCTGCGGCCCCTCCCCATCTCCCTTCAGATCAGGCTTCCTGTTGCAGGATTCTTCCAGGGAGACTTCCGTGCTGTTGCTCCAAGCGGATGTACACACAGGAATGTCTGCGTTACGTGGGTTAGAGCACTGTCTGCTCTGCGTGTACAAGTTTAGCCATAAAGCAAACACTAAAAGAGTTGAAAAGCAGCTCCTATAGCTTCAAGACGTTAATCATCGGCTCCACTGAAGTTGGTACACACCGCCATCTTGTGGTACAAAATAAGAGGAACGCTGATATTTTATTGTCTCTGTGGAAGTTATGACACAGTAAACAGACAAAGCCTAAATATACAATTCCAGTTTCTATTTGACTGATGTTTTCCTTGACAACAGTGTTGCCATCCTTCTTTTCTGTTTTGAGCTCTACTTTCTATTGTGGCTCAATGCTGCATGACACCTCATCCCCACGGTCCTGTTCTTTCATTACAGTTATGCTGCAGTTTCCAGCATTATTTTTTTATTATTATTATCCTTCCTCCCTTGACTCTAATCTTTTTTGCCTGTTTGTTGTCCAAACTTTTTTTCCTCTTTCTGTTTTTTTTCTGCATCTCTGTCAAACTCCTGCATCTTTCCATACCCACCTCCTCTCTTCAGCCAGGCTATGTCAGGGATTTGGTAAGTGATGTGTCCACTGGGTGCCTTTAAGCCGTTCTGCATGTTTGTGTATTCTTTTTTTTTTTTTTTGTCCGGGTTCTCCTCTAACTGTAGAAAGTAGATGGCATAATTTCTAATGTGTGTTGTTTGTCATCAGCTATAACAAGTTTCAAGAGTTAATAATTGAAAGAAAATCACATGTGAAAGTATTGCTGTGGCTCCTACTTCATGTTGAAACAACAATCTTAACAAATATGTCAAAGACTAAAACATGGAGTTCTACTGCTTGCTTTAGTCCATTTAACACTCATAACAGATTAATAAGTGCTCAAATGACTATTAGCTTCATCACACTGTTTTAGTTTGTGTGTCTCCAATATAACTCAACTGGAGGTAAGTGACTGGCCACAGTAAACGTGTTTGGACAACAGTTACTTCACAAATACACACAATTGTGACTGAAACAATTTTTGGTTAGCTTGTGTTGACTTGTATGGCATTGATGTCAAAGAAGAAGAGCTGTTTAGGTTCACTGCAGTTGTTATGCATCAGCATCAAGACAATGTCTTGTCAAAAATAAAATAAAAAGGGAAAATAATGATCACATTAAAACAAAATTAAAGAGTAAGTGTTATTAGAAAAAACATTGGATTGTAATGTATGATGCCTTTGAGGTGACAGGATTTTTATATTTTTTTTTCCGTTCCCTTACAAAAGTGTTGCACTCACGCAGTAAGTTTTGCATTCTCTCGCAGTGATGTATTTACTAGTCACTCTGTTTGAATACGGTAAGGTTTTATCTATTTTTGATATCTTGTTTGAGGTTTTATATCTTTCTTGCACCACAAACTTATGTGTAAACTCGCCTTGATTCTTTCTTTGTCTTGACAACAGTTTATACTCAAGTGTGGATTTGTATTTGATGGGCTAGTTGTTGGTATGTGGTGACGGGATGACTTTGTTGGGCTGGGCTTAATTTGTGTTTTAGTTTAATAGAGCATCGTGCTAAATATCTGGTTTTTTTATGTGTGTGATTTTTGTCTTTCTCAGATTTCCGCCCGAATTCTTGAAGCCCATCAGAATGTGGCCCAGATGAGTCTCATCGAGGCTAAGATGCGCTTCATTCAAGCATGGCAGTCCTTGCCAGAGTTTGGAATCACTCACTTCCTTGCAAAGTACATAGTTCAATCCCCATGATCTATCTTCTTATCTGTATTTTTTTTTTGCGGCATATCATGCGGTCTGTAGAGTTAAACCCGTCATTCTGTTTCCCTTTTTGGTCCTCAGATTCCAAGGAGGGAAAAAAGAAGAGCTGATCGGAATCACCTATAATCGCCTGATCCGGATGGACGCCCACACTGGAGACGCAATCAAGACCTGGCGCTTCAGCAACATGAAACAGTGGAACGTCAACTGGGAGATCAAGATGGTAGGGAGGCCAATGAAAGTCACTAAAATTGCTTTTTTATAAGGTACCTTATAAAAAATGTCCTCACCCTTTGAGGTTTTTCACATTTATCCCCAGTTCAGTGCATTTTATTGGTGTTTCATCTGATATACCAACAAAGTGTATCACATAATTGTGAAGTAGAGGATTCCAAAACCTAAAGGTTTTACAAATAAAAATCTTTGATGTTTATTGCTGTGAATCCTTGAATGCTTTATACTTTGTAGAAATACAATTTACAGCAGTTCTATCTGCTCGTCTTTCGAGCCCAACATTTTCTCCCACTAGCTTTCTTTTTTCTGCTGAACAAAATATCCCCACAGCATGATTCCTCCTCCCCCATGTCGTATAACATGGGACTGGTGGGTTCGGCGTTAGGTTTTCATCTGACCAGAACGTGTTCTTTTCCATTTTCAACCATGTCTCTGACAAGGATTGTTGCAAACAAAACTTTTTATAAGTTCCTTAAAGGGGGTGCATCACAAAAAAAAAAAATGTAATGACAAAAAATGTCATATATTGTTGCCAAAATTCAAGAAAAAAATAAAAAAAGTCAGATTGTTTGTGTGTAGTCTGATTGATGCGACATGTCCTGTGCATTCAGGTGACTGTTGAGTTTGCGGACGAGCCCAGTCTGTCCTTCATCTGCGCCGAAGTGGATTGCAAGGTGGTCCACGAGTTCATCGGCGGCTACATCTTCCTGTCGACACGCGCCAAGGACCAGAATGAGTCGCTAGATGAGGAAATGTTCTATAAACTGACCAGCGGCTGGGTCTGAGCAGTCCCAGGCCAGCAGGGGTCGATGATTTATAGGTCAGGGGTCGGGAAGAGGAGCAGCCTTGTTTGGGTTTATTTTATTGTGTTCTGTTGTCTGTTTAAGTGTTTGAAACTGTGCTGAAGAAGTCAAAGTTTAGCACAGGTATTGCCAAGACTGACAATTTTTGTTCTTGTTACGTCACTAATGTTTTGGTTGGTACAATCCAGATGAAGCCTTGTGTTTTAGTAGGAACCTTAGAATGGCAACTTGTACCACCACCTTCTTATTCGCTTCATCACTTTCTTGTCTTTTCCTCTATTAGATAAATGGGCACAAATTTGAATCCACAATGATAGTTTGATCAACCTTTAGATCTAATCCCAAAGAATATATTTCAGACTTGTCTTTTTTTCTCTCTTAATCATATTCTGTATGTTTCCTTATACGGAGCTGATTTGATCATTTACCAAGTCTTGAGAAATATAGAGGAAATGTTCTGTCAGACTTTATTAATTATACAAAAGATTTAAAAAAATCCAAATGTCATATGTGGAGTTATTTCAATAATGACACTTATCTAAGATTAGTTTTTGTAACTAATTTTTGCAACATTTAAAGGAGTTATTTTTTTAATTTTGCATCATTATGGCATAACTAGTTTAAGCATTATGGATTAAATTCTACTTTGCCAAATGCTCAAGATAACTGAAGTATCCTAAGCATTGGCAACGTTTGACTTTTGTGGGCAAAAGTCAAAAGTTTTGTTTTCAAATGATCATAATAATGTAATAACCACTGACAAAAAGATTTTGGCAAATAATTCTGAATACTGAGTGAAGATGATGAAGTTCAAAACAGAACATATTTAAAAGCCCTGCATTTTCTTCTATACCTGGACTTAAGGAGCTAGAATCTTGCCATATTAACTAATATTTATTTCACATAAAGGAATGAGTCAATCAATAAATCTGATTGACAGGGTATTTGTGGTGGCAGTCACTTCTTTACGGCCACCATTCCCTTTCTATTACTCTCATTCACATCTCATGGAAACACTTTTGATTTATAGATTCCTCTCTGTTAACAAGCTGTTAAATTTTTCTTTTGCCTTCTTGTTTCACACCTTTCTTGTTTGGTTGAGCCACCAAGTTGCCCGTGTAATAGCCTTGTAAGCCTTCATTTGTATTCAGCAGACTGAATAGGAAACATTTCTGAAAATGCTTTAGTGCGCTATAATGAGCGTCCTGTGGGTTTTACCACCTGGGTGTACTGAATAAGGTCAAAATGTCTCATTCATTTCGAGTTATATGCAAGGGCGGCAATTTCTTTTGTGACTTGCATACATTTTTTTTTTTTATTTTTTTTTTTAACTGTAACAGCGAGAGGCGTGGCCGTCTGTAGCTGCTTTTACGAGTTTTAAACAACCGGAGACTTGAAATTACAGCTGTGATGTTAAAGTGCATGAACACTACACAACAGGAGGAACACTATCACAGTCCCTCGAAGCATGTCCTACGTTAATGAAGCCCTGTTTCTCACTGTATAGTATTATATCGTTATCAATACACACCAGCAAAAGGTCACCGAATTTAAAGTATGAATATGCAATTTTTTTTTGTTCTCTTCTCAATATGAAGGATTGATAAATGAAGTATTGTTATTTTTTGTAACTAATGTAAAAACGCAAACATTTTATAAAATTGTACAGTGTTTTTTTTTCTGCTTTGGGGATTTGGAGGGTTTTTTTTTTCTTTCAGAAGCCATCAGTCGACGTGTGTAGCTTTCAGAACTGTGTCTGTACATTGTGGTCTTACTGAGGTCCCACATGGCGATGCATATGAATTTAAATGAAGATAACACTAGTCTCAAACTCCTGACTTGGTTAAGATGTTTCTTTTCTATGTGCAGCCAGAGCCAGGGCTGAGTCGTCATTATTCTTAGTTTATTTTGTTCATTTATTTTTGTGTCTTCTCTTGTCCCATTTGCAAAACAGAAAAAAAAAGTCAATTAATGGTCAAGAGAACCATATTTATTATTTGTTTGAACTGACAAGTATTTACAAAAATGTCTGCCTTATATTGAGCTTGTTCACGTTTTTTATAACTGTTTTTTTTTGGTCACAACTGAAGAGTGCCATATAATGTGGTGAAGAAGATGACCCTGGAGTTTGAGACCGTTCAGCAAAAATTAATATTACTAAAAAATGAGAGAAGAAAAAAAAAACAAGCATTATATAAATATATATTTTTTCTTGTTGATGTTTTGTTTGCCTCCAGTGTCCAGAGCAGCTGTGCATGTCCTGCTGTTCTGTTTTCCGACTGTAAAAAAATGCTTTTATTTTAAAAAAAAAAATAATAAAGTAATTTTTATTTAAATGATTTGGCTCCAGGTTTCTCTGCAAAGTCATCTACACTCTTTTTGGTACATGCCATACCAAGTGGTAGAAGCATTTGTGTTTTAAGATATGGACTAATAATGCATACATGGTGGTTCTTGAGTTGCTGACAGCAGCCGAGTGCAGAGAGAATGACAAGTCATCTTGGTGTACTTGTTCACTTGCGAACAGAAGATATATGGACTGATGGATTAGACTGCACCAGCAGTCTAATTCATCAGTTCTGAATAAAATATTGCCTATACCTTCATTTTTTTGTCACTTCATGTAAAATGCTGTCATATGAAGTTTTTAAAGAAGTTTATTGCAATGAGTTTGACTAAATCTGCCTGACATTTGCACTTTGTGGCTCTTTTTTTTTTTTTTTTAGGCAGTACAAAAATTTACTGCAAGTCTTTTTGGAGCTGTCCTTAAAGCTTTGTGTGCACTAGCTTTGTCTTTCCACTAGATGGCAGAGTTCACCCAGAAGTACGTCTCAATGTGACGGTCTCAGGCTGGTGCGGTCCAAACATGACGAAAACAGACTGGCCAGCAGAAACCAGGTGGTGCCAAATGGAGGTAGAGATCGAATCTGAAGACGCCCCCTGACAATCTGGTTATTTTTCAGGGTTTTGCTTGTTCCTCTTCAGTGGACAGCCACGTGCCATTGGTGAAACAGCTGAAATGGGGAGGGCGATGACGAATCAGGACCCCCCTAAAACCACCTGATGATGACTTCATCGTCTTATGAAATGCTAGCAAAAATCAACATGGTTTAATCAGGGTGACAGGAAATCTATTAAAGAGGGTGACGATTAGAAAATAATGGATTTGCTCTGCTAATGCGTTTTATAGGATTCACTTAATTGCAAATATCCCGTTTTAGAGCCATAACATCAATTGAAAAATTTAATCAGTGTCTTATACTGTTGTATATAGGATACTGATTACATTTTTTATGCATATAAAAAGAGTTTGTGAACAGGAAAATGTTGAATGGATGTGATTCTGCTGATTGCCCACACAGAAAAAAAGATTGGATCAACACTTTTGATGCAGAAAGTGACCTCTGTGGAATTAAACGGGCGAGAAAATGTCTTTCTCCTCATTCACCGAAAAGAGTTTATCAGAACAAAACTTCCTTTGTTTGCCCAAGAATTATGAGCACACACAAAAAAAGTTTATGCTTCAGTCAGGACAGATAGTTCTAACAGGAAGTAAACAAGCAGACTACAACGTAACATTTTGGGGATTGTTTGTGAGTGTAAAATTGATCAGTTTTTATGTTTTCTTAAAGTTTTTTTATGAGTGAAATAGGCAGAAGTCACCCTGGGAACAATGCAAGCAATAAACAGATGGAGAAAGTGGATGAAACATCTGCTAACGTCTGCAGATTGTGTTAAATCAACATCTACTCTTTCTGTGTTCTGTATATTTAGCCAATAACCAAATAACTCCAGTTCTGGCTCTCTTTTTTTTTTTCGGTGTGTGAGCCAAATGAATAAGAGTGTTTATCCACAATTGTACATCACTATTTAAACTTTAAGCAGATGTGATTGATGTTGTTTTTACAATAATGTTTTTATATCTAGATATCGTGCTGGAGTTGAACCTTTAAAAATAAAACATGCTGACGAAGAGACAAAAGGTTGGATCACACAAACATGTTGATGCATGCCTTTGCACTTCGAAGCAACAATTTTGGTCAGAACTGGAGCAGAAATCCTCCCCCTCTGTGGTAAATTATAGCCAGACTAGCCTAGCGGAGTAGTTTATGAAGTGTCAAAAATTCTCCTAAATTTCTCCTCCTCTGGATAATTGACCACATCACTCACTTAACTCAGATTCAAGCAGAAGTCTTTGCTACCACTAATTTCCTCTTGGGTGGACATTGTGCTGTGCTTTCCTGCCAGAGTTTGGTGGTTCAGCTGAAATGTTATCACTAACCTTTCAACTGTGCTTGTTTCTCTTGAAACTAAATAAATTTACCCAAAACTCATCTGAAAGGAATAGGCGATGAAAATGTTCAGTTTAATTAATACGATTTCTGAAGTCTTATGAAAAACCGGGAGCTTTCTCACGGATCACCATCTTCTCCAGCACCAAGACTGAAATCCTGCTCCTAAATATGAAGACATACATTTTACAATCTGTCCACTCAGTTGAGTAAAGCGGTATCACTCATCTAGAGGACACTTTCCGCAAAAACATCCTATTCTTGTGGAGAGCTTCATTCCAACGCTTATGTAGAATTTTATAACCTTCAAAAAAATAGTTGTCAAAACTGTCGATTTGGAAATATGTCTTGATGGAGCTACTTTGCTTTTCTGAATCCTTAACTCTCCTTGCGTAAACTCCAGGTCTCACCGGGTTTTGGCCTATTGTATTCCTAAATTTAATGAGAGCTAAAGACGTTTCGCTAATGACTTCACCCATTGTCATAAATTCCTGCTAACCCTGGGGAGGATGTTGAGTGGATTTAGGCTTCGATGTGGGTGAAAAAAAATAAAAGAATGAGGGGAAAGCCTTGAGGGGTGGACGGTTCCTGCATATTTCAGGAAGTGAAAACATAAAACTATAGTTGCACAATCCATGGAGCACATAAGTTGCACCTGTCGCCATTCAGGCGCTGCAGCTTCCAGAGCGGCTCTGCTGTCTTGTAGTTCACAGCAGGTTAACGTCACTCCTAATGTCACAGAGAGTCCCGTCTGAGAAACTGATTGTGACATTCGCCCCTGCAGTGAAGAGAGCGCTGTGGATAATGTCAACCAGCGGAAGATGTGCTGATGAGCTGACTTGAAAAGTCATTGCTGAAATCTTCCTGATGAAAATCCTTTTGACCTTCTCCAGGTGAATTGGTTTTCTTTTTCCCACGCCTTTGTCTTCGACATGTTGTTCTCAGGATCAAAAAGACACATTTTTAAACATCTCACTGAGTGTTAGCTTCTTTGTTTTTTTTATGTTTCTGTTCCTCGTGTTCTTTTTTTCCCCCACTGATGTTGGCGTCACCAAGTCTCTACACAGCCTGTGACACTGAAAGATGCTGCATTATTTTTTATTAAGCATTAACCAATCATATATGTGAGTATATTGTTGTGCTGTTATTTGTGCAGCAGAGATAAAACTGACTAAGATTTTACATTAAATCGTTTTGGATTGAGATTTTCTGACATCCGTGGTCGTCTTCTGCTCTGATGTCAGGTTGATTTATCTATTTTCCACAAAGGCATCTAGGGAGATATTATGCAAAAAAAAAAAAGTAATTTTGCTAGAATCGATAATAGGCCGTTAGGGTGCATCCTGTCAGAAAATAACGTGGGTGGAAAAGGCTCAATGAGAAAGAACAGCTTTTCACATTTTCATTTTGTGTGAGGAATGTTTTGATCTTGGGTATTGAGAAAATTTATCTGTTCAGAACTAGTACTTTTGTTTCTATCAGTTTGCTGTGTGTTATGGTTCTGGAAAACATATCCCGCTAACTATGTGTGTGATGATTCTTTGATCTCTGCTAAGAGATTACCTGAGACTTTCACCTTTAAAAGTTCTGTTTTGCGCTGCTGTAATAACAGCCGGAAGCCAAATGTTTTCCACTGCCAGTTTGAGTTAAAGTAAAATATTATTTCTGGTTTTGTTGCAAAGAATCCCCGTCCTCCACTGGGACATTCAGGAGTTTTCTGAGATTTATTTCAGATGTTCAAATGCAGTAAAGCTTATATGGAAATCTTATATAAATTCTTGCCTCTGTGCCTTAGAAGTGACATGAAAGTGTATTCACACCCCTAGAACTTTTTCACATTTTGCCACACCAAATCCACAAACTTCCCAAAGATGTGAAGTAAAAGAAAGAGGATAAATATTCAAACTTTTTATGTTTGAATACATGTGTCCTCAATTTAATGCAAATAACACTGAATGAATACTGAGACATCCAGACACCCCACTAAAATGCATTAAAGTTTGCAGAGTGGCACAAAGTAGAAAAAGTTAAATAAATAAGATACCATTTTGTCATTGTCCCAAAAACAGTTTGGTGATGGGTCTTGTGTAGAGGTGGCTTCAAAAAACCCCCAAAGACTCCAACATTTAGTTGGACTTAACACATTGACATGTGACAGGTCTGCATTTTCAACCCACAGCTTGTCTGTGGTTAGCCTCTCCCCTGCTGATCTTCGCTCTTGCAGATATATGAAACACAACTCGACCCCAACAGTTTCATGACACAGGGCCGAGCAGTTCCACACATACGTCATTCCTATTATCTTCACAGTTGAGTCTAGAGATGTTTTCATGGAAATGTTTAGACTGAGCTAAACACCAATGAATGCCAAGATTCCTCCGTTGATGTCACAGTAACCTCTCCAGGGCTGCTAAACGCAGTTTATAGGATCTGGAAAAGGTTCTGCGCCGTCCAAAGGTGACACACAGCTGGGAAGCACTTTCAAAGTCATCTCCGATTTCGTGGCTAATTGACTTATCTGGTATCCTTCCCAAGTTACCAGATAAGTATTATTTGTAAGTGCTCATCGGATATTGTCAGGATTCTAATTTGGAAGCGCTTTCTTTTTTAAAGGTAAGCTTCGATTATGTTTCCTAAAGAACTTATCCCACCTGCTCATCTTTATAATAGCATGAGAACAGTCACTACATGACAACATCTGGCACAGCTGCTTCCCATCTGGCTCCAGATTCCTCAAAGTGAAGGTTCATCACCTTGTCAGTCTTGCTATGCTTATGGGACATCACACAAGCTGTAATAGAAATTTCGAGTTTGTCATTAATGTCAGATCGGGAGGGTTTCCTCTGAGTTGATGAGATCATGTCACGTGGTGTTTATTGCCGTGAAATGGAGCTCAGAGGGAGCCACCATGCGCGCTTCGGGACTTTCTGCAGGACACAAGATTTGTGTGCGAATGCATACAAACACAACTGTGAGCGGATGGGGGTTTTTGTTGATGGAAAGAAACTGCAGCGAATGCTATATGACACGCAGTGTCTTCCAGCTCG